CAGGAGGATCTGGACACCTAGACTCTATAGTTCATAGTTCTTTGTTTTGTATTTATCAAATTCTCTGTGTGGAATAATTGAGAAGTTCAGCAATCAAACCTTACCTAGTGAGAATATCACAAAAAAAGAAAAAGGATCACCTTGTACCTTTTCAGAGGGGAAGGGGAAAGCTCTTGCTCAGAACCCCCTCAAAAAGCAGCCTTATTTAGTCTCCTTCTCCTAAGAGGACTCTCTGCAGCCAGCCTTAGTGTGGCTTCACAAGGGGCAAGCCTCTGGCTTTCAGCCCTGGCTCTTTTTAGTCCCTGGCTCCCCCTGGGAGCTCTTTCTTTTCAGGCAGCTCCTGGGAAGGGTGTTTTCTTCTTTAAAACAGGATTATCTGCGTGCCAATGTCCCAAGCAGCACAGCAGACGCTGCTTCAAAACAAACAGTCTTTATCGTGCCATTCCAGTTTCCTCTGTCCTCACTTGGACTTTACTCTTTCTGCCCTGGGACCTTTTATCTGTCCGCCCTGGGACCTACTTTCCTGGTCCTCCAGAGCTTCTTGCAACAAAACAGTTACAAAACTGTAATCTTTACCTGAGGACAACACTGACCCAATTCAGTGAAACATTAAGTCATGGGAAACCAATCAGGGGCAGTCTCTGCCTCCTGCTGTCAGGCCCAGACTAGAATCTGCCCATGGGGTGAAAAGGGCATCTAGATGACCTACCTCAGGAATTATTTCCAGCCAAGCACCAGAAAACCTGGGATCCTTGAAAGACTCTTTCTCCCTAGAATTCCTGGAAGTCCCTTTCCAGGAATATCTTGGTCCCCTTTGATACCAGGAGCACCTGGGATTCCATTATAACTGAGTTTACCTTTCTCTCCACTGGCACTGGCAGGACCTTGTAGGCTAGGGTGGACTTCTTGTCCCTTTATACCTGGGATGCCATGCAAGCCAAACAGTCCTGCGTCTCCCTTAGGGCCAGAGATACCACCTGGGCCCTGTGGGCCTGGTAACCCTTTGGGACCTGGGAGCCCCACTCTAGGTTCACCTTTTTGACCTGGCAAATCTGGTGTACTTAGGAAACCACCCAAGCCAGCACAACCTGGGGTCCCTGGCTGACCAGCTGGGCCAGGATGATTTGGGAAACCTTTAGAATCAGGAGACCCATACAGTCTTATTCTGGGCTTCCCAGTAGCACCTTTTCCACTTAGTAGCCCAGGTCTCCCCAGCATAGCAGGATTCCCATTATCACCTTGGACTCCAGGGAAACAAAATAGTTCTGAGAGCATCTAGCCCTGGAAGACCAGGCAGAGGAATGGCTCACCCCGATTTACCCTTTGTCTCATAATATTAATTGGGGCACATAGACCCCTGGGTCCTGGCTGGCCAGGGTAACCCAGAACCCTGATGATGCCCAAAATCCAGAAACTCTCACTGGGTCCATATCGGGATTCCTGAAGGTCCTCAGTATTGCCAGCTCCAGCACAAATTCCATCTGGCACTGGTGATCCTTGTACTTCATCTTGAGCTGAAGCTCCTCCATCTGACACTTCTGTTTCTCCAACATGAATTGCTGCTGCTCCAGCCCAGTGTTAGTGGAAGAGGGTTGTGATGACGCCCAGCTGCTGCTCCAGCTGCTTTAATGATCATCACTAATGCTGCCTACCTCCTGTACCTAAAAATCAAGCCGCTGTCCTGCGGTTGGGTCTAGAACTGATTCAGAGGCTTGACCGCTGTGTTCCAGGAGTGTGATTAGCTGTGCCTTCTTGGCCCTTCCAAAGGTTAGATCTCTCTTCTGGCAAGTGTTTATATGCTGAATCCTCAGCCATAGCTTTGGGTAAGTGCTTTGGCATCCCACCTTGCTCGCCACCTGTCACGGAAAGGAAAAAAAGGAAACGATCAACCTGCCCCTTTCAGAGAGGAAAGGGAAAGCTCTTCCTTGGAACTCCCCCAAGAAGCAGCTTGATTCGGTCTCCCTCTCCTGAGAGGACCCTCTGCAGCCAGCCTGAACATGGCTTCACAAGGGACAAATCTTTGGCTTTGAGAGCCTGGCTCTTCTCAGTCCCTGGCTTCCCCAGTGATCCATAGCACCCCCACCTCAGGGAGCTCCTTTTTTTCAGTCAGCTCCTGGGAAGGAGGGGAGATGTTTTCTTCTTTAAAAGACGAGGGTTATCAGAGTGCCATTGTCCCAAGCAGCACAGCGGATGCTCCTTCAAAACAAACAGTTTTTATTATGCCATTCCAATTCCCCCTGTCCTCACTTGGAGGACTCGAATTGCCCTGAAACCATTCCTTTTCACCTTGTCAGCCCTGGGACCTTCTCTTCCCATCCACCCTAGGACCTTCTTTCCCTGTCTCTCAGAGCTTCACTTCTGCTCAGGCATAGTCAGCCCCACCTGCAACAGAACAGTTACAAAACTGTAGTCTTAACCTAGGGAAAACACTGACCCAATACAATTAAACATTAAGTCATGAGGATCCAATCTGGGCAGTCTCTGTGGCCTGCTGTCAGGCCTAGATAGGTGAAATGGTTAGATGACCTACTTAGGGAACTATTTACAAGCATTATTTACAGTAAAGCCTGCTCACACTGAGCACCCCAAAGTGCTCCCCACTAGAACGGCAGGCTAAAATCCAGTTCACCTAGCCTTTTTGGTCACGGAGAGTGATTTCTAGATATAAACCTGGAACCTCCAGTGAGTTTTTTTCTTCTCTTATTGTGTTGCCACTTGCTCTGCAAAATCACCAAGGTATGCTATAGGCATACCTATTACTAAATGATCATGTTGATGATTTTTAGTTGCTAATTTTTTTCTCGTTTTTATTTAATCTGGCTGTTGAGGAAGCTGCTGTGTTGCATTTTATATTCAGTGTACTTCAGTTCAAGGAAACTTGATCTCTTAACACTTCACATTGGACAGTATCAGAAAAATTGAATCAGTCTAACTGTATTTTTAACCATTTACACTTGTTTGGGTCATCAATTTACCCTGTCATCACTTGGCATTGTGACAACTTCCAGTTCAGGAAAAGTTGCATGCAGTGACTGGTTAAAGAAGCATAGGTTTGGATTTGAAATGGAAGTGGTAAGTGAGAAAAACTGTTAATCTGAAAGTCTAAGGAGCTTCACGCTCCTGAGCAAAAGTCCTTTTGAATCCTGTGCACGTTGTTTTGCTTTAAAATGAAGCAAGCAAGCAAATAGGGTTCTGCCAGCAACTGTCCAGCAGCTTCTTAATGGCCAAGTGAAAATGATGGTTTCTCTATTGGGACTGTGATGGTTTTGAAATAGTTTGATTCTGTATGTAATTCTAGGTACATGACAAGGTTTAAAATAAATACTAGCATAAGCAAATGTAAATCCAGATTTTTGAAGAATATATGGATCTCTGAGAAATCAAATATTTATTACATATTTAACATCAGTTAAAGGTCAATGTCTTGCTATGGAAACACTATACAGTTTTGTGACTTTAATATAGCAGAAGCAAATCTGAAACCAACACTAGGGCTGGAAGGCTGTGTATATCTGGAACCACTGAAACTTGAGACAAGCATTAATGTACATGAAAAAGATATTATGGTAACACATACTGATGTGTTTGCTGACTTTATATGTCTCTTTAACATTGCTGGGCAAATATCTTTATTTGCACTTCAGTGAAGAAAAATCCAATTGAGTAATCGTGCTTTAGATTTAAGGATGAATTGATAATGTAATTTGTATAAGTTAAATGTGAATACTGTAACAATTTAAAGGGCAAAATGGCATGGATATTTTGAAACGTGGGATACTCTGAAGAATGTGACCATGTAAAAATACCTCTTGCCCTGTGTATGCACTCAGCCACACCACTAAAACCCATGGATAAATATAAGGTTTTCTTACTTTCACTCTTCTTAATCCTATGGAGCCAATGAAGCTAGAAGAGAGAGAGCTGAATGCTATTTCTTCTTGCCTATTCTCACAGGACCCTTAATTTAGATCCTAATGCATGTGTGCAGAGGTGCAACCAGCAATTCTGGTGCCCTTGAGAGCTGAGGGAGGTGCCAAACACTGTGGGGTGCCGCTGGCACCTCCTCTACATCAGCAATCAGGACTAGTGCCCTGCCCTATGGCCAGTGAGTAGTCCTGTTGGCTTCAGTGGGACCATTCATTTAAGCCATACTCCTGAAATGCCAGTTTTGTCTCTTGATGATCTAAACCAGTGGTCTCCAAACTTTTTTGATCGCACACCCCATCAGTAAAAAATTTTTGAGCACGCACCCCCGATATATGTATATTTATATATATATATAGAAGTTCTAATATTTTCTTCCTGCACCCCAATGGATTGTCTTACACGCCCCCTGGGGTGCACGCACCCCACTTTCGAGACCACTGAGCTAAACTCCATGAACAGCATCCTATCTGCCCTTAACTACAGTTCCAGTGAAGACAAAAGAGCTGCAAAATTATAGCTGAAAATAGCATTTACCTTGTCCCATGTTTATTAGTAATGATTCTACACAAATCAGAAACAATAGTTTGACTTTCAGATCCCCAAATGGCTTAGCAGTGGTCACATTTTTTTTTTTAACTCCAAGCTGGTCAAGCTTGGGGTGAGACAAAAAATACAGAACTTCTAATTTACTTAGACTAGAATCACATTGCAAAAATGACAGAGCTAGAATATATATATGTGTGTGTATTAGTGATATATATATATAGATATATAGTGATGTTTCATTTTAATCGTAGAAAAATGCGGATTTCGGGTTACTTTTTTTAACCGAAAATGGGGGCCGGAGGGGGGGGGGGCGTTATCCAGTATCCCTATATTAAAATGAATGCCCTACCCGCACCCTTCCCTTCTAGGGGCAGCCCGAGTCGCCTCTGTTGCTCTCAAACTCGCTACCGGCCCCACCACCTCGCCCCTGCTGCGCATGCGAAACCCCACCCCCGCGCCAGGAGCAACCGAGCAACACATCTGCGCATGTGCTGGGGCTGTAGCCTGCGCGTGCTGGCCCCGCCTTTCGCTGGCGGCGCAAAGCAATGACGACATTAGCCCGTGTCGTCGCCGGGATTTGGAGTCTTGGTGGGGCCACGCGCCGGTGAGTGAGTGAGGGAAGGAGTGGGTTGCGCGCGGGCAGCCGGGTCCATCGGGGGAGGGGGCAGTGCAGTGTAGTGCAGCGGAGTCTCCAGTGTGTCGCACCATGTGTGTAACGGGCCGCGCCATAAAGGGTCTCTCGGGCCTGCCCTCGGGGATCCGGCAGCGGCGGGACCTGTGCGGCTCGCTCGTGCCGGTGCCTGGCGGAATGGCGACCCTCGGGGTTTCTCCGAGTGCTGGTGAGGAAACGCAGCGCTGACTGGGGGCTCCTCCCTTCCCCCTCTCCGCCCCGCCCCAAGAGGTGCACGTGGCTTTGAACTTGGGAATCAGAACTCGTGGAAGAGGTGATATGTTCTATTACAGTGGTCTCCAAAATGTTTTGATTGCGCACCCCTATCAGTATAAAATTTTTGAGCACACCCTCCCCCCCCAATATATGTATATTTATTTATTTGACATACAGACCGAGTGAGGGCGCCAGTGTCAATCCGTTTATTAAATATTAGTAAAGCTTAATTTCTTTCTTATTTTCTTAGATACAAAATAAATATAAATAGAAGTTCTAATATTTTCTTCCCACACCCCAATGGATAGTCTTGTGCACCCCATGGGGTGTATGCACCCCACTTCGGAGACCACTGGTCTATTAGATCAGCTAGATAGTTGCAAACAAATTCCTTGCTTTATTTGCAAGCTTTTGGGCGTACTAGCACATCATCAGGAATAGGAGAGAGCAGAGATTGGAAAAATTCCCTAGGTATTTGAATTTGGGACATGCATAGACTGTCCCAGTGTTAAGGAGCTGCCCCAGGCCTGGTTCTCCCAAAAGAGCAAGGGGGCCATCGCTGTCACGTCCAGGGCAGCTCTGCAGCCAGGGTGCTTTGTGATGGGATGGACTGGTTGTTCCTTCCTGCCTTGCCCAGTCCACCCTGGTTCCTTGTATCCTGAATGCTCCCATACAGGTTGCTAAAAGTGGGACGGTACAAAGATTGTCCGTAAAGGGACACCACCTGTTTGAGGCCAACAAATGACTTTTCACTGTTATCAGTGACATTTAAAGTTACTGTAATTAGAAGGTTGAGCAAAGCACTAACTTTTGTGTTGCAGCGTTTTCTTGTTGCACTTGCTGGCACTTTGCTTGCATAGCAGCAGTGGCATCTTTTTCCTCATACCAGTGTAGTTCCCTTTCTGTGCAGCAGCAGAGGAGGCAGTAAGGAAGAAGGGAATATTTGTTTAGAAATCAGTAGCGGAGGGAGGAAGTAAAAATATGTCAGCAGAATTGAATGCCGTGCCCCCACCCCAAAACTGACTCGAAGCCTTTGGAAAAGTAGCTAGAGGCAGCCTCTTGTAATACTCTCTCCTCTATTTTTAACATGAAGGGTCCAAACTCCTAGTTTATTGCAAATGTTGGTTTTGTGAGATCTGCATTAAATAGCCTATCTTTTTAAACAGTAGAGAACTCTGTTCAAAAAATCCCTGAACTACCTGAGCCACCTTTTTGCAATTTTAATCCTTCCATGGTTTCTTATGTCCCCCACATGGACATAGGGATAATATTCAACTGATCTAGATACCTACAAAATACTATAAGCTGAGTCATAACTCAGTTTGATCTGCCCTCCCCCGCTGCTTAAAATATGCTCTTGGTTAGCTCCAGATGGCATCACTGAATTTTTTGGAGTATACTGAATGCTGCAGTAATGATGCATACTATATTTTCTGTTAATTGTTTTCTTGCCAAGGCACTGAGTAAAAATCTGTCTAATGTTTTTGTTTCAATTTGCATTTATAATAGGTTTAAAATGCTACTAATTTGTAGTAAGCTTCTCAGAGTATTTCTGTAACATCCAGCATTCTTTTTTCTTAGTGGCAGACTTGAGAGAGACTTTTCATGAAACACCTACTCTGCTGATCCTGATTCTTAAGAAAAGATTCAGGAAAAACCGTTAGAAAAAAAATGTCAGAAATACCAACAGAAAATGCAGAAGGGCCAACAGAGGATCTGCAGCCCACAGTTCCTGACACAGGGGAAAAGGTGAACTCAGATGATAAGCAAATTGAAAGAGAGGACTCGGGACCAGACAAGACAGAGTGTGTTGAAACTATGTCGAAGAGACAAAGGAAGAAGCTATTGAAACAGAAACAGTGGGAAGAACAGAGAGACATGCGTAGGTATGGTTTGAACTGTGACTCTTCTGCATGGTGAATTCCAAAAATAACTAGGTATGGGAAGCAGAACTTGTGCATAAATGCTGTGTACAGCAAAAAAAAAATCCCAGAATTTAAGTCAGTGTTTGAACAAATGAAACATGGGATAAGTCCTCAGCTGTCCTATCTGAGGACCAAGGAACTTTTGACGAGCGTCTTCCTCACTCCCAATAGGCCTGTGGTGCAGCAACTGTTTCTAAACTTGCCATGAAAGCCAACGGGGGGTGCCTTTCAGAACCTGTAAATCTTTTCCCTAATTGGCCAAAATAGTTGCCTTGGAGAAGTAATGTTCATTGTTACTTCTGTATGAACCAGCAATGCATGTGCTGGCTGTTAGCTCTGCTTGACTAATCAATGAAAACCAAACATCAGTGGCAGATTTCCTCTCTGACAATACAAAACAATGCTGCTGGGTGGCTCGTGGTCTTTCAAAATAAGACCGTAGTGGTAAGTTATCACACACTTTCTACAACGTTCTGTAGAGAAAGGGATTGAAGAATAGGGCTGCTTTTGATTTCTCCAAATGTTGGCTGTACACCAAGGAATAATTTCCCCAGACAGCAGCTGTTTGGAATGAGCTTCTTAAGTGTTAGTGAAAGATGTGTCCTTGTTGGTTGATGTAGTAAACTTACATGGTGTAGCAGTTACAAAGCAGACCTTTTAAACTATATTTGGTACAGTCTGAGTCAGTTATAGCAGGTCTACTTGACAAACAGCTCTCTGCTTGGTTATTCATACAGGGGTTTAAACCTTATGGCCTGTGAGCACTGTGCTGCAATGTTGGCTATATGGCTGCAGGAGCAGACATGACTGGAATAAGTGCTGAAAATAACAACTTGTCACATTTGTGGCTGATGTTAGTTTCATGCTAATAGCAGCCATGACACAGACCAGAAGCTGTCCCTTTCAAGCCTGCTGTTACCAAGCGTGAAAGTGATTAACAGCTGAATGATTAGCTGAGCCTGTCAATGTTGTAACTGACCCAGCTATTGCTCTGTAAGGTAAGCACATGCTGTGTCTGCACTGATGAGCCGCCACACTTTAACATGGCTTAGACAGTGCCTTCAATATTTAGTCAGTGGAAGATAGCAAGTGGTTTGCACCATTTTCTTGAGTTAAAGAGCTTGCTGCCTTAACTGTGGATGTCTTAAGCAGCTTTGACTGTACATCTTTTTGTTACCTGTGACAGGTTTATTTAAAAACTGCTGTAGTTTAATATTTTCAGATTCTTATTCGTGTTGCATTTTCAAAACATAAGAAAATGGTGAATGATGTTTTTCTTATTTACTAGATAATTTGCTTTTTGCTCATAATTTGCATCAAATTAGACTTCTGGATGTGCCCTGTGGATGACCTTGACGAATTTGTGATGGTGTAACCTGCCTGTGGTGTCTTTGCCTGGCTCTTGCACCCAGTAGCAGAACCCCCATCACATCAAACCCTTCATACATTACAGGATCTATTGTATAAAACTTGACCTCAAAATTAGTAATTTCTTCTCATCCTTTTCTGATATAGAAAAACATGCACCCTGCAAGGCTTGATTTAGCATGTTTATTTTTTCTTTAAATGTTTTTAAAGATTATAATAAGTTTAGGTGCTAACATTTCAGATTTTAGTTTAAACAGGCATATTTTAAAGAGAGAAAAACAATTTGAAAATGAGTGGTTTCTATCAGCTCTGGTATTCCTACTCCTTTTTGCATATATGACCTGATTCTGATCCCTTTGAAATGGAAGAGCTTCTTTCCATCAAGTTAGTAGATTCTAACCCAAACAACTTAGTGCCATAAATATACCCATGACTTTACAAAGAAAGATGAGGGGTCTACTTCCAGTTGGATTTCGAGCTGTCCCCTTTGCTAAGCATTATGGTGGGCTACCCTACTAGACAGGACAGTGGGGCAGCTCCATGTTCTTCCTTAACTTCTTCAAGTATATTTTTATCTCCCAGGAGCTGTAGTATATAGAACAGCTGACTATTTTTTTTTACTTCTTTTTTTAGGCAGAAGCGAAAAGAAAAGCGCCAGAAAAGAAAACTAGAACGTCAGTCTCAACCAGAATCTAACAATGAAGGGAGTGACAGAAAGCGTATGCGTCAGGATATTGTTCCTAGCAACCTTCGCCTTATTGTAGACTGCAGTTTTGACAGTCTAATGGTATTAAAGGTAAACTAAATTTTGCTATTGAAAGCAAAAATCTTAGGCATTTTATGGTACTACTGTTGGCATGATCTGAGAGTGGGGACAGTCCTTTCAATTTTTTTCTGTCCAGGAATAATGTTTGCTATACAACATGAATTCATACATTAAGCAGCTAACATACATGCTAAATGTTGAGTCTTCAAAAGATGCTTCTGTCCAAACTTGCTAGAAATGCAGCTACTCTTGTGGAGACATGGTCTTGTAAATTGACTGCATCTGAGAACACAAACTACTTCTGTTTTATGTAATTTGTACATCATGTCAACCATTAAATTCCAGGCCATTCATGTTTTCTGGGAGCTCATTCTGCAGGTACTGCAAAGGCTCATTTTGTTAGGCCTCCTGCTCAAGTAGTTCTTGCTGCCCCTAGCAGAGTTCACAGGGGCCCATGGGTTGCAACATAGTCAGCCGTGATGATGCTCACATCTGTTTCAACTGCTTCAGAGGTAGCTGGTGAAGTGGACCAAATAAATTGATTTTTTTTTTTTTTTTTTAATGAATGTGAGGATAGCTAAAATCAAGATGACTTCTGGTTAACCCAGAAATGACTGGAATAAGGTGGATTGAGAGGAGGGTGGTCAGTAATCAGAAGGTCAAGGAACTGTGTCTGGCTAAGTGAGCCAGATTCACAAACTAAAGATGTATTAGACATAGGTCTAGTAGTGAATTAAGAACTGGAGCTAAATGTGCAAGTTTTTCTCTGTCTACTTGTAGGTAGTACCTTTTCTTTCTGATTTAAGTTTTTCTATAAAAGCTCTCATTTTTAGGCCCTCAGGACTAGCCTGCTGTGGCGTTCTTTATGTGCAGCTGTACGGCAAGGGTTCTTAAACTGGAGTTAGTGCGGAATGCGTCTGGCAGCTTGTTGAGTCAAATAGAGCGCACAGTGTTAATAGTCAGTGACACTAGTTACGTAGTAAGTTCCTGGACAAAATTGAAACTGCTGGTTTGACACTCTGAAGTCCTAAATGGAATGTGTTATTGACTAACAAAATAATGATTTCTAGAGTCACGCTAAATACAAACTATCTAGGTTTTCATGGGGGAGTGATGGAGAAGTGAAAATAAATTTTTCAAATTATTTATGGATGCTTCAGGTTGTCCTAAAAAATATAATGTAGAAGTACCTCAGGTTTTTGTGGGTGAAAGAATGTTACAGTTAAAATATGCATGGTAGAAATATGTTCCATTCCTGGGAATAAGTTGAGTCTTACATTTAATCACATGTTGATTTAGAACAATGTGAAGCAAAGCTGACTAAAGAATGTGATCTTAAGCCACAGATGTTTCTGTGTATTTGCTCATAGCAACTTTTACTTTTTTTTTCTTTTTCTATTTCTTTTTCTATCTCTTTTTCTTCCTTTCTAAGATTCCGATTTTTCTCCCAACCAAGAACCTGTTTTGCCACTTAAAAGCTTCCTTTTTCTCTCTCTAGCTTCTGACTGACTCTTGTAAAGTATTTTGTGGTGATCTATCTGAGGGGGACTGTATAATTGTGTTATCTGCAGGATGTCAAGAAGCTTCACAAGCAAATTCAGAGATGTTATGCAGAAAACCGCAAAGCTTTGCATCCTGTACAGGTATGTACAACACGTAATGTATGTAAGCACTTCCTGTGCTCTGAACATGCAAGAGAGGCAACCCTTGCCGCAACAGGTGAACAATTAACTTAGAACACTGTCTTTTTCATATTTGTATTTACTACAGAAATAATCCTCCTGGTAATAAGCTCAGTAAACATGCCTAGATACATGAAGGAGCATGTGGTTTGTTTTTTTTTGTTTGTTTTTTTACTGTAAAGACTGCCAGATGCTTGTATACTTTTCTAAGCAACCTACTAATGCTTAGTTTTCTATCTGCAGTGCAAGGAGAAAACAAAAATAAAAGCTTTTGCCCTTGTACCTTTAACTGCTCATTCAAAGAATAGTCTTACTGACATCAGTAAGGGTTTGACGTAACCCTTCAGAAGGAGAGACATTTTTTAGGGAAACATGGCAGCATATGGAATTTGGACTTTATGCACTATTTTTCTTTTATTCTCTTCCAAGTTTTACTTGACCAGCCATGGTGGTCAGTTGAAAAACAATATGAATGAAAATGACAAAGGATGGGTCAACTGGAAGGTAATAACAGCTGGATAAGTTGGTATTTACTGTATTATCTTCTATTTTAAGGTGGGTTGGGTTACTTGCATTTTTTCAAGTGTTTATTAATACATCAGAGGTGGTGTTAGAAATAATAGCTTAAGTCTTAATGGTTTTTAATTATTTTGAATGAATTTTGCTTCATAAAAGTAATAGACTAAGCTGTAGCTTGAACTAGCTATTTAAGGGTAGGCGTTTATTGACTTCATATACACCTCAGTTCTGAACAGTGGTCTACAGTGACAACCTTTTTTTTTTGAGCAGAGTGCTACTTGTATAGTAGAAAGAAAGTAAAGTAGTTAAAGGGAGAGGATAAAACTACATCAACTTTACCAAAGATTACCATCCACTGAATGGTAGCTTTTGATAAGCCTTTTTTCCCAGAAACCTTCAGGCAGATGCTGACCCTTAGTGGATCCACCAAAAGCTTACTATTCTTGAAAGAGAGACCATTTAAAATCCTTGATATCCCTGGTATCTCAAGTATTTGTGAAAAAGTTGGTTATCTTAAGCCTTTTTTTATCCTTTCTGCTTGTTTTTCCTTACAGTCCTCTTAAACTAAACCAATATTCACATGGTAAACATCCCAGTAACCTGGCAACCCAGCCAGAACCTTCTGTTTGTAAGTTGTTATAGAGCAGCAAGGTCTTGTGACTGCTTTTCTGTAGCTACAGCCAAAACCTGTCCTGCTAAGCAAGGGACAAGAGCTGAACGCTTTATTCTGGCTTCCATTTATGAAAATAAAAATTTGGGTTAGATGCTAGTCTTCAGGGGCTTATATAAGTTTCCAGGGAGAATCATAAGAGATCAACCTTGCCTCTTGTAATTTTATGTGGGTGCCAGAAAGCTAACTGGCACCTATTTGCAAGCTACTATTTGAAAGCTGGACCAGTAATGGTGGGATGGGGACTTGGTAAATACTAAGCTTTAGTGGTATAGTGCAGTGTAAACAGGGATGTGAAGGAGAAAAACACTCTGTGGACTGGCTAATACACTATTCCACTGATACTGCACCAGTGCCATCTTGCTAGTTCAGTAACTGACAGCTTGCATCTATACATTTTTTGGCTATATCTAATGCCTGACTATACTAAAAGCCTGTACAGTGTTCAGTTGTGTGCAACATGGAACTTCTGTTTGTCTTAAAGGATATCCACATTAGGTCAGAGCACTATAGTGAACTGATGAAGAAAGAAGACTTGACATATCTTACTTCAGATTCCCCTAATATACTGAATGAACTGGATGAAACCAAAGCCTATGTGATTGGAGGGCTGGTGGATCACAATCACCACAAGGTAGATGTTTTCTATGTCCGTGTCTTATTTATTTATTTGTAGTATTGCATACAATATTGTTGTACATCTGCAAACTAGCAAATACAGAAATACTTTATTATCCAGTTTTTGTGCAGTAAATCACAACTTTGTGGCTTTAATGATTATAGATACCACAGACCACAGAAACCAAAGACTCATTGGTGTTTTGTGTTGTTTGTTTGTTTGTTTGTTTGTTTGTTTGTTTGTTTTTAAAGATGGTCTAGGTGTGTATACATGTGGTGGGGAGTTGGGGGTTAATTAGAGCAGCTTTCAGGAGCTGCTCTAATTAAAACACCCACAGTCGCTTTTGTATTCAGCATCCTGCATTTCAAAATGGTGGCGGGGGTGCTTTAACTGAAGCTTATTTGACAAGCTTTCGTTAAAATGCCCCCACTGCCATTTTGAAATGTGGGATGCTGAATAGATGAGACGCTGCAGCATGCTGGAGCATTCCAATTAGAATTCTTTTCTAATCAGAATGCATCAGACCATATGTTATAGGCATTCTTCAATTTTATCCTGCTTATTACCATACTTATATTTTAAATTCCATTTCTATATTGCTGAGGGCTAGGTTTTTTAATAGCTGTCTTGGATCTCCTGTGTATGCAGTTATATGCATGCCTGTACACAGATTTTTCACAAATGTATATCATAATACAGGCACAGAACAGCACTTGGATCTTGGCTGTACTGTTTTAAATAACTTTGCTTGTTACTGTGACTTAGTTAAGGACCACACTTGCATTTAGACTCTACTTCCACACCTGGACATGGACTCACACTGTGTGGAACTGGTATGTCACTGGGAATGCCACATAAAGGTTAGAGAACTCTTAAGAATGCTTTCCTTTGGATAAAGTAGTGACCCAAGCTATTTCCTTTGAGCTATGTAATAATTGTATATGTGACATTAAAAAATGAATAATCTGCCTTGCATAATTTTTCATAGTCTAGCAATCACTGCGAAAGACTGAGAGAACTAAACCGGGGCTTCAACTACCTGTGTCACGCTTTATCAATTTTCAGTTTTTCCAGAAAGCATGAGAGGTTTAAATGATTTTTTTTTAATCACTTAAGGGGTGGGCCAGGCATGGGACAGAGCTGTGGCCCATTGGGGGGAAGCTCCTATAGCTGCACATGCACGGGGAGGGGCATGTGCATCCCAGATCTGCGCGAGGCAAGCAGGCTGGAGCCAGAGTTGTGCCAGGCTCTTTTCAGCGGGGGCTGGGTTCAGGCTAGGTGGTGGCACTGGGGGGTGGGCTGCAGCCACCCCAGATTTCACCATAGTTTCACTCCCAGCATCACTACCTGCCAAGCACACCCCCGGCTTAATCCATGCACTGGGAAGAGCCAGGGTGTGCCAGGTGTGCAGTGGCAGTGCTGGGAGCAGGGCTATGATGAAATTTGAGGTGGCTGCAGCCCCCTCTGTAGCCCCTTCCCAGCACTGCTGCTGCCTGCCCCAACCCCAGCCCCAGCCAAGAAGAGCCCAGCACAGCCCAGGCTCTAGCCTGCAGCTATAGCTTGCCCACCCCACCCC